GCGCACACGTGGGAGAACTTATGCCTCAATATTTTTTCATTACACACTTATTGTCCGATTATAGCATTTTAGTCCAAATTAAGACATGAAATATATTGTGATTGCCAAAGCAGGCTGGAAACTGGCTTTTAGACAGGAGCATTATTAGCCAAAAGCAATTAACAAAATGTGAAAAACGAACCTTGCCGACTTTTGAATCCAAACAATATAATCGTCAAGATAGAGCTCGGCATAAAAGTAATATCCCGGATATTCAATAAGCATGTGTCTAATTTCTAGGAGAGCAAAGAGGATCCAGCCTTTCGCTAAATTGAGAGCAAAAAAAGATAACATTAAATAGAAAAGGTGTACAGACGGCTAATATAGAAAAAATTCAGTTTTTAAACAAAGAGGATAAAATATTTTTATAGGAGATAGGATAAATTCTTCCAAAACTCAATCATAAACTGACATCGAATAAGGCTAGACTTGCATACAGAAAAGACGGTAGGGACGGTTCTCCTATCTCGTTATCAAGCAACTACAATAATGAAGGAACTGAAAAGACAGCGATTTTTACTTCCAATAGACATCTTACCATTTTCATGCAGAAGAAGAGCAGTAACGTCACAACAGACGCTTCGACAGAGTTCAAAGTTGCGAATAAGGGGATAGGTAAGAGCCCTTTCATAGAAGGTAAGAACGACTGTCTGTAGATTGGGAAAAATCTAGTAACAAAGGGGGAAATAGTGTATTAGACTTGAAGTAATTGCAGCTTATTAAATGGCCAAGTAACAATTATGAAGCCGATGAAACCTAAATTGACAAGTTTCCAATGCCCGTAATTTCCACTCAAAGTGAACGACTCTAGCTTGATCAGGCCGTTAGACACTGAAACGCAAAACCAATCATTCGATGGCATAGAAGGAAGCAATAATCTCGAGAAAAGCTTCCAGTGCCTCGTCCACAGTTGGATGATTGAAACGCCCCCCATATTAGAATACAATTCACAACATTGAAATTATATCGATTATGAGGAACAAAAAATCATATTCATCCATCACCAAATTATATACCTATAGTCCGAAAGGTATAAGGTATTCCAACAGTAATGGTCACAAAAATTGTTTGATGTAAGTTTCAATAGTTGATTATAACTTCAAATGAAAAAAAGGTGAAGAAATTAGAGAGATGAGGCTGGCACTTACTTCAAGCCAAGATAGCGTGCCAGACACCTTTTTGATTGTCCATCCGGACTCACAGTTATGTTCACCCATTGTCACCCGATAGTCATACGTGTAGGCAAGCAGCAGATCAACTAAGCCAAGATAAATCGACATTCGTGAATTGCATGGATCAACAATTTCATCATCTGAAGATTGGATGGGAGGAAGAAGTGGGAGGGGGTGTGTTGCGAGGACTGTCAACCGATGACGATGGTCATCGGTAAACTCGGGTCGAGCCTGTTGGTTAGCGGTCCAGGGAATCGACTGATCCATTGCTGGGGCAACAACTTCTTTCTCAAAATAATCTGCCCTAATAGAAAAAAGAACATATGAACCCTAAGGCTTTACTTATGCAAACCTCACCAATTAAAGTTAATTCCACAGTTTCGACTTCATAAACGGCGATATACTGAATCAACGAAACTGGCACGAACAAATCATGAAAAGAGAAAGGATGCACCAATTCATAAACCCCATTGAAAACAATAACTTTTAAAATTACTACCAACATATATTTAAATCGCACTAAATCACATATTGATCTCCCTCTTTCTCACAGTGAGGTGTACAAGTGAACATCGAACCGGCCAAAAGGAAATTGACGTATGAAAGACAACGGAAGCTCTAGAGAGAGAATGGACAGGTGGAAGTTGAATACTCTCAGACAACAGAGGCATGATTTTTTATCGAAAATAATCAAACCAATAATGGTCAAAAAACTTCAGGGGAACTTTTTTGGGGAATTCTTCACATCTGTTCCTATGCGTACATGGCAATAGGGGTGATATGCCCAAATTTCAATGAGGTTTAATAAAACGACAGGGGGGGGGGGATGTTGAAGCGGATTGCTACGCTAGTAAAGCGTGACCGACTCAGAAATCTCTATGGCAGATTCTCCAACATCCTGACTCAGAAATCTCTTTGGCAGATTCTCCTACATCTACTAGACCGACTCAGAAATCTCCATGGCAGATTCTCAAACATCTAGCTACCGGCTCAGAAATTTCTATGGCAGATTCTCCAACATCTAGCTAGGAATCAGAAATCTCTATGGCAGATTCTCCAACCTCTAGCTAGAGAACAGCTAAGCTATAGCTCAGCTATAAAGAAAACAGACGTGTAGCACGGAGCGCGTTTATATCTGTGGCAGATTCTCCTACATCTAGCTAGACTCCCAGAACGGCAGATTCTCCAACGTCTAGCTAGACTCCCAGAACCAGGGAGATTCTCCTACATCTAGCTAGACTCCCAGAACCAGCTAAACCATAGCCCAGCTATAAAGGAAACAGACGAGTAGCACGGAGAATTCTCCAACATCTAGCTAGACTCCCAGAACAAGCTAAGCTATAGTCCAGCTATAAGGGAAACTGACGTGTAGCACGAAATGCGTTTATTCGGTACGTATATTGCATATAAAGGAAACAGATGTTTAGCACGGAGCACGTTTATTCTACAAGGAAAACAGACGTGTAGCACGGAGCACGCTTATTCAGTACGGATTCAGACGTGTAGCACGGAGCACGTTTTTTCAGTACGGGTATCAGACGTGTAGCACGGAGCACGTCTATTCAGTGAGCATATTAAGACGTGTAGCACGGAATACGTTTATTCGATACATATATTAATAGCGAAGAGTTTGTTTGGCAAAGCGATTAGTTATCAGATAACTCTAGCATAATTCGCGTGAACATTAACAGCTAAATATTTCTGAGTAATATTCTATAGCAGGATTTCTATCTGGTTATTGATGAAGTGTCCCACAATGTAGGTTAAAAGACAGGTAGAGGCTTTGATACAAGATAGATAAATAATTTGAGAGATGAATTTTAGCGATGAACCCTTGAGAGTCAAGACTAAAATATTTAAGGCGCTAGTCCCATTTTTTCAAACTCAAAATTATTACCGATTTGAAAAAATCAATGAGTTTTGATAAAATTATAAAGAAAATGATCGGAGTATCGATCAGCTAAAACTCAAAATGAGAGAGAATAAACGATTGGCGGAATTAAATCTGAACATGAAATTTTACATACAACAAAAGGAAAAAACTCACATGTAATGATCCTTGTAAAAATGCCCTCGTAACGCCTCTCGTTGCAAAGCGTGCCTTTTATGAGGAGGAACGAAGTCAGCATATTTCAGATCCAGCACTAATTGAGCTTCACTCTAAAAAAGATTTAATATAAGATACCAAAGAAAAAGACAAACATTCTTTTCGAATAGTCCTAGTTTTGAGGCAGCAAAACCATATGGGTACTTTATAACACCAATACCAATCGCGGTTTCGCAATCTTCTACGGCATCTGAGACGGTATGATCAAATGGTACTGCAAACCAATTGTATTCTGTTGCACCTTCTGCGGCTTCTTCAGAAGCATCCAAAATTTGAATTCCGACTTTCTGCGTATTATTAGCCTTAGGAGTTACCATAAATCTCGAAATGAGGTCCAAATCATTGAAATGCTCGCCAGGATTGGTTTTCGCCATAATTGCCTTCAGGTTGCCCGAATCTATTTCGAATTTGATATGGTCTTCATCCTCATAAACGGAACCTGGAAGCTTCATTCTAAAATATTTATGATAAAAAAGCATACACCTACTTTAGATAGTAAGGTGGAGCTGTAAAGTATAAAGTATCGTCTTCGATAAGGAATTCGGAAAGGCTTAAATCAGCCAGAGGAATGCGAAGATCCATAATAAGTTCATCATTGGTTTGAGAAAGGGAAAATAGTGGAGTTAACATGTCATAAATGCTATTAATGCACAGAATAACATCCAATCGACACTTGTGAAGGAAAATGAATCGAAAGAAACCAATCACGAGTGCAAGTTAGCCGAAATCCAAATAAATAAATCCAAATCTTTAAATAAAATTACTTTAAATAATTAAATACATAATATAAAATTTAATTATAAATTAAAATTTTGTTTATTAAATGGTTTTGTTTAAGTTCATGTATAATAAGCCAGTTAGATCAATCAGTGCATCCTACGATGAATAATTCTAGTATTGTTTCTTCTGCTGATGGTTCAAAGCAGTTAGTTACATACAGCAAGGTTCAACAAAAGATTGTTCGTCAGAACGTTCGTTCTGAGGAAGAGTACCTGAATGTAGGTCCAGCTTGTTAGTATTAATTATTTTTTTATTTCAATTTCCAATACTAATATGTAACCTTTGGCTGTTTTTTCGTACTATAGCATATAGGAAAGATTATACAGCGTGATTTCTTCCCAGATATTGCCGAACTTAGCGGAGAAACATCCGGTGACCCGGTTGTTGATGCCTCCCAAACGCCATCTAGCCATCCAACTCAAAATCCTGAACGAGGTAATTATTCTTGTTTGCTAACTAAAAGCTTGTGCTTTATCGGCTAATTTAAATAATATTTTGTAATTCATTAGATGAGATATCCATGCGACTGGATAAGTATCTTGCGAATAACACAACTGAGGACAACGCTTCCTTCATGGAAATTGTTGAAGAATCAGAGAAGAAGCGAGAGGCGAAATTGGCCAACTTCTTTCCTTCTAGATCTCCCACTAATGCTGTACGTTGCTTTTGATTAAATTGCATGTCATCTGGTCTAGTTGTGCTTATCAATATCGATGATTTTTT